ATGCATTAACAGGCTGGCCAAAAATGAGGGCCCACACATCTCCATGTTTCATTGGGCTGTGAAACTTGTCTCAACTGAAACACGAAGAGATCAGACATCACTTTTTGCCATGACATGATAGCCATAAATATCTAATTGTGTGCAAGTGAGTGAGTGCATAAAGACAAAAGGAAATCTTTTTTTTACTGACACATTTAATCCTCTGATGAACTTTATCAAGGCAAATGTAAGAATTTTATTTTGCAATATGTATTTATAAAAATATTGTTTTCAAAATTTTTAAATTTAAGAATGCTCATAAATATACTTCAGGCTGTGAAAATCAATGGTAGACAATGTCAATAATTTAAAAGTATTTCCTTTTTTAATTTTTTTTTCCCTTATGACCCATGGTAATCTTTATATATTGAATAATAAATCCTGACAGTGTTTGTATTATGATATGTGTGTGTACACAACACTTACATTTTACCAAAAAACTAGTTATTTTGTAATCAATTTCTCTGCTTATACTGCAAACTCTTCAGGTGACATAACAAAATATAAAATTCTATTAAATCTAATAATTCACTGATGAAGAGAATTTTGTTTAGTTTAATAATCAGAAAGTCTTGAACAAATAACAAAATGCAGAACAAATGCAAAAATTACTTAAATATTGTGATTGTTTGATATCATAGTCTAAATAAAAATGGAGGACCTAAAGATAAAACAAGTTTATATAAGAAAAAACAGACAAACACACATTTAATAATTCTAAAACATTTTTATTCAATATTTTTAGCTTTTTTTTTTTATTTATTTTTTGTTTGTTTGTTATAAAATATATTGGAAGGGAGGGGATTGGGGGGACAAAAAAAGAAATAAACAAGAAGTGACACTGAATTAGAAATGATGGATATCCAGTCACTTTTCAATAGGGGGAGCGTTGGGGGGGGCTGTGAATCATAACTCTGATATTTTTAGTTAGACATAAGACTTCCAAAGAGAGGGAAGGAGACAGGAACAAGACCAAAGTCCACAGCACTTCCATGGTATATATTTGTTTTGCAGTATAAACACTTTGAATTCAAAAGAAAAATATTAAAGGAAAAAAAAAAAAAAAAATCAAACAAAATAAATAAATAAAAACAGAACTTTTGTATGCCATCTCCCTTTTCATGAAGAGAGGCTGTTTTTGCTTTCATGGAGGGACTTTTACACTTAATATTCCTTATTTTACTGCACATAAGGAACAGACAAGGATGATGTTACTGAAGTGACTTAAACATAAAAATGGTTGACAGTACAAGAGAAGTGAATGTTGTATGTATAGGGAATATCTTCATCACTAAAAACTAAAAATTTTGAAAAACCGTTATAAAAAAAAAAAGAAAAAAAAAAAAAAGAAGAAAAATCTTACTCCCTTGTTGACAAAAATTCTCAAGCAAAAATAAAATGTTAAATAATCATTTCCAATTAAGATTAGAAAATTACATTAATTTTCCTAAAAAAAAAAAAAAAAAAAAAAAAAAAAAAAAAAAAAAAAGAAAGAAAGAAAGAAAAAAAAAAGAAAGAAAAAAAAGGGTCAAATTTTAAATAGTGATAGTTACTGAATTGTTAGTGAGAAGATTCTTTATACAAAATAACTTTTGATAATGAAATTAAAGAAAAAAAATAATGGGGACGAAAAGAGGATGGCCAGCACCCAGAATTATTTTCAGGAAGTTATGTTATAAAAAATAAAAACCGACTGCAAAGTAAGACAAATTAAGATGAAAAGAAAAGAGACAGTAACATAATATACAAATAGCAAATGGATGTGCAAGCAAGTTTATATGAACAAATGAAATAAATTTACATGAATATAAAAAAAAAGATTGGCTAGTGGAATTGGATGAAAGAATAAGCATAGAAAAGGAACAACATAAGTTGACAACTCTGATACAGATTGAATTGTTTAATGTTTTATTTAATCTAACAAAATATCTAAATTTAACTTTCATTGCTTACTTCCCTTTATACATGGGTGGTTAAAACAGGACTCAAACTGAGACGGTAGAAAAGGTATAAAAGGACACAAATCAAATAGATTTGAATGCATTCTATAAAAGGATGTATATATATATATATATATATATATATATATATATATAAAATAAAGTCTTTTATAGACTAAGATATTTTTGAATATTGTTATATACTTATATTGAGTTTCATTTAAAAAATAAAACAAAATCACAAAATGTTTTAGAATTCAACTGAAACAATTTTGATCAATTTCCACACCCCAATTTTGTAAACATATGTAAGCAATAGAAGTTAAATATAGTTATTTTATTAAGTTACAAATTTTTTTTTTTAAGGAAAAGCAAGTTTCTTAGTTCAAGAAAAAAAATACCATAATACTAAGTAGCGTGTAAGTGAATTTGTTTTCAAAGAGGTGAAGAGAATTGGTTTTACTGGATAAACTGTAACAAAAAAAAAATAAAATAAAAAAATAAAGCAATTAACTGTGTTTGCTTATACTCTTATTTGTCATTGCTTCTTCATATTATGAGTAACATTTTCTAGTTAGCCATTCCCATTATCTGCTGTTTGGGGACCAATTCTGGAATTAGTTTCTTTTCAGTATGAAGAGCCTCAATAGAACTAAATGGCACCACTTGAAAAGCAACTGTAACAGATGAAGGAGACCAAAAAATAATAAGTTTCAACAAGCAGAGAGAGAAATAGAGACAGAAAGAAAAATACAGGTACAAAAGAAAAAAAAGGGAAGAAAATAAAATAAGAAACAATGGTAAAAACAGATAAAAAATATTGTTATGCAAGTAATTTCAGACACTATCATCTGGTAATGCCAGGAGTTTTTTTTTTTTTTTTTTTTTGTAAATGAAGACATTTAAAAACTGTACAATTGTTCCAGCAGTATGGAAGTAAATAATTTTGTTGTCTATTGCCAAAAATCCATCTGGAACAATGTTTTTAAGATAATAAATTAAGGAAGAAGAAACACCTTAAACACACATGCACACCCACTTGCATGTACATACACACTAAAATCATATATGCACACAAATGTACCACATAATAACAGTAAAGATGAGGATTTAAAATCCTGTTGGAAATGATTTATATCAGCCATTGAAAATACAAAATATTCCATTTAATGTTCATTCAGATACATATTTAAACAACGACAGGTGCGGACAAATGTCAGTAATGTAAGGAAGGATTATATTTTGATATGTTTACTAAGTAGAATTTATCAAAGAATTAATTCCAAACAATCTCAGTTCTGAAATGGAATAAAATAGATTTTCTCTTTTGATTATTGTCAATGTTTCCCTTCCATGATAAATAAGTTTAGTTGGTGCATTTACACAGGTAAATGAGCAAAAGGCACATAGGGACCCTAAACACACTTAAAATGCAAAATTTAACACAGGTTACACCAATCACACAAAATTATGATAGTATACATGAAATTATTAGCAATAGAAATAATTTTTGGGAACTTGATAATAAATACGCAAAGAAACAACTTAAGTGATTATAATTCCACTATGAACAATTTAAAATAAAAATCATGAAGGCATTTTTTTATTATTATTATTTCATTACTCACTTTATATCCATTCTTTCACTGAATATTATCAATTTTACTAAATATCCAATCAATACATTAGTAATCTAATTTTTTGCTAAACATTAATTTAATAGCAAACAGAGTCATTTGTAAACACAAATCCTGTTCACACAAAAATTATCCATAAGGTTGTCTAGAAATAAATAAGTACTGTTACAAGAACCAGATAAGACTACAAGTAATGAATTTGACATTTGAAAGCTTGTACTACTAAATTTTAAACTGATTTTCTTAATGTTAGTAAGCCCAGCTTATCTTAAAAGAAGACCAAAATATTTCAAGTAGCAAGATTCAGTCATAGTAGACTTTCAAAAGTAGCCCAAAAGTAGCAACTCCAGTGACAAGAGGAATTAGACTTTAACAGTTAACTGATTTCGGAACTCTTGATAGTAAGCATTGCCATTCTCAAAGGAATGTGAATTTTGTTTGATTTTTCTATACATGAACAGAACTTAAATGGCATAATACATTAACAATTTTCTGGAAATTGAATGAAATGGAACTCAAAAGTTTTTCCTCATTCATCATATTTTCCCTTATGTTTTAAAAGCACTTCTACAACTTTTTCAACAATAAGTTTGACAACCAAGCTGCAGAAAGAGCCTTCACAAAGTTCATTCACCATAAAATTCTGGTTTTTGGAACTAAGGCATTAACAGCAGTGTTATACATTGGCAGAAGATATTGAAGTCAACAGTGTGTACTTTGATTAAATTATATGTTACAATAAGATTTTCTTGTACACTTATTTGTAATACCAATGACATTTATTTCTGAATCACCCAATAATTTATTCAACATACTTCAATTTTTATATATTTTTTATGCCTAAAGATGATGTTCACTAAAAATTGCAATTATAATGACAGAATAAACTAATTAAGAATAAACTTTTTGTAGAGCTGAAAGCATTAATCAGAAAAAGGCTGGCAAGTCACTATTCAGTAAAAGAAACATACAGTTTTTATTTTTTTATTTTTTTTTTTTTTTTTACTACCATGGTATAATCAGAAGAAAACAAATTGAGTAAAATAGAAAGAATATTTCAAAAGATATTTGTAACCAATAATAATGAAATAGTGACATCAGATGCATATTAGGTAAAACTGTAAAGTTAGATTTAAAACACTCTGGCTGGAAATGTTTAGTTTTGGATTTTTTTAACAATCAAATTGTAAAAAAACAAAAAAAAAAACTTAGGAATGTACTAATGAGTCACTATTAAAATACAAACATTTGAAAAAGAAAAAGAAAAAAAAGAAAAAGAGAGAAAATTAAAAGAAATCGAAGTCAGCACATGATTTGCAGAGGAAACAATATAACAAATGTAGTGTTGGACTAGTCTTGCAAAGCAACAATACACACAAATGAATCACAGCCTTACATTAAGGAGAGAGAAAAGGAGAAGAGAAAAGGAGAGAGAAAAGGAGAAGAGAAAAGGAGAGAGAAAAGGAGAAGAGAAAAGGAGAGAGAAAAGGAGAAGAGAAAAGGAGAGAGAAAAGGAGAAGAGAAAAGGAGAGAGAAAAGGAGAAGAGAAAAGGAGAGAGAAAAGGAGAAGAGAAAAGGAGAGAGAAAAGGAGAAGAGAGAAAAAAAGAAAAGAAAAACACTATGCTACATATAATAAACTTTAAAGCTAATTGTTTCTTATACTCATGTATACAAATCAATTTTTATTGGAATGGAGAAATTTGACCAATTAGATTTTCAAATAAACTGAACATTTCTGGGTACCCTCCTCTTTCTATCATTTCATAGGAATATTAAATAGGTTTAGAGAATTTCTATTCAGATCTTCAATTACTTTTGTGTTTACTTTTAGACATTCAAAAATCTGAATAAGATTTTCCCACATTAAGTTTCCTTTTAGTATTTTTTAAAATTTTTTGTACAGTTTTTTTTTTTTTTTTTTTTACATAAGTTTATCCAGTGATTACATACATAATTAAATGCAGTGCTGGATTGATGGCCTCAAAATCTAAGGTGGGGCAACAACAAAGTCTATAACAGTTTTGACAGTCATCGATCTTTCTTACATTGGATTGGAAGGGACCTCACAAGTGGAATAGGCTAAGGCCTCACTTTATCTAAATCCGGCACTGATCAAATAGTATAAACTTAGGAATCAAAGCATTGACATTTGTTTTTTAATTTTTTTTTTTTTTTTTTTTACAAATGATAAGTCATTCAAGTAAGAAATTTAGATACACACTTATGTATAATTCAACCAACATTTGAATTTAAGCCAACAGTTATATAGCATTCATTCATGTTCACTCACACAAAAAATAATATAAGGAATTTTTGTTTTCTTTTTACATTAAGGTGAATGATGTCACATAATGGGGCCTAAATCAGTTCTGTTTACTACTTAACCTTTTGAACACAGAAATCTGACCACTTGCTTGTTTACTAGGGCTGGATATTTGGACCAATTTCAGTTTCAGAACTGTCTGCATACACAGAACAATTCATCAGTGAAGAGCAACAAATGGGTAATATAAAGTTTGTTATATGAATAGATTTATATGTTAAGTTTCAATAACTTTCTAGCAAATTAAAAGTGAGTTAAGCAAAGCCTTGTTAGTTCCCAAAATTAATGTAAAAATGAATATAGTAGCTTAGCTTGTAAATTATATAAGTCTCTTAATCCTACAAAATAAAATATTTTGTAAATTTGTTCTTATTTAAAAAGAGATTCACTAATCTTCATGACAGAAAAATATTTTTTTTTAATAAATCAGTAATTTAAGAACTAAGATATTTACTTGAATTTCTTTTGTGCTGAAAAAAAAAATAAAATAAAATCCTAGGATAAAATTAAAGTTAATTTTTTAATGTCAAGGAAGGTATTGTTTTAATTACAATAAAATCAATTAAGTTTTGTAGGATAAAATCCTTTAACCTGATGTTAGTATGAATAATTTTTTTTCTTCATAAAACTTATGCAAATGCTGAGATTATTTTCCAATGCAAAGTTTATGAAGACATTACATTTTTTTCAGGCTAGTTGAGACATTACAAATTATAATTATACAGGCAAGTGCTTTTATAAACATTCTGATCTTTCTGTAAATAGTCCACACTACCAAATTATGGACTGATTTTACTAAACAAAAACTTTTATATGCCTTCAAGAAATCTATTTTTTTTTGTTTTTTTTAATTTCATCTGCATCTAACTTTGAAGCTCTCTAATAAATTTAAACTAATCAATATAAGTTTCAATATCTCAATTCCTTTGTAAACTGCTTTTCTTTCTGAGCTTAATACAAGTAACTTCAAAAATATACAAATGTCAAGAATTAGGTAAGAAAAATCATTTTTTTTTTTTTTTAAATTTCATAGAAAAAGAAATTAAAATTCAATTTAAATAAGAATTCTATAATTATCAGAATTTTATTTGAGTTATGATTTGGTGTATAATTTTAGCAACAAATTGTTTTAAAAGAATAAAAACCCCAAGTTAGAAAATAATTTTATAGAATTGACATGTACACTACTGCCCCAAATATTGAATATACAGCACAACAAAATAAGCATGTCTGTTTATTTTTCCAAGGCAAAAACAGTTTAATATATTACCATAGTTATTTATATTTCCTTAAACAAAACCATGGAATGGATGCAGGTGTGCATTAGAGGCAATATACAACATGCCACAAGATGCAAATGTGCATCATTTGGCAGTCACCATGTTAAGAACAGGGATGAAGGAATGGAAACTTGGCTATGGATTAAATAATTTATGATGGAGCTAAAACCAACTATATTTATATTAACAGAATTGGTTTGTGGTGGTGTTCATTAAATAAACCACAATAGTCACGCAAAATTACTTGAGCATTATTGGCTTTAGAAGGCTAAACATAGTATAATTTCTGAAGAGAGTTCAAGTTAAGTAGCCAAGTTAAACACAATTCTAGAAATACAGTTTGTAATCTACACATATCCATAAATAATGACATGTAACAGCATCGTACCCTGATGCCAATCATGGTTGACAAGAGATATGACAACTCCTTACATGGGCAGTAATTACAGAAAATTAGGTTGCCTACATGTTCACTTATACATTTTTCTGTCAACTATCATGAGATACCAGGAACAATACAATATTGTTAAGACATCTGGTAATGACAAAACACAGGGATGATAAGAAAACTCAATTCAAACAGAAACCCTTAAATAATCCAAATAAAAATTAAGTGAAAGAACTTTAAGAATCAGAAAAAAAGTACATATAACAGGTAGACTGATATGGTATGTATGAAGTGGTACTGGAAAGTTCACATATGGTACATGGTGCTTGTACTATTTACAGTCAGACTAATATCCTCATTACTTATTACAACATATCAGTAGTTGTGTCTGCCATTTCTCTCCAGGTAACCTTCAGATAAATTTGATCTGAACTTTTCATCTAATTTACATGGGTAGATTGTTCTTGCCAATGTTTAGAACAATCTAGACTTATAGATTAAATAAAAGGTTCAATTCAAAATTTCCTGATAGTTAGCCAAATCAATAAACACTTGAACAAGGTTGAAGAGTACAATGGCTAAAACATTGTGAATGCAAAGATGAGGACAATTGCCCAAATGTAAATTCATCTCATAAATTCAAACTATGATTATACTGTTCAAAAAAATGCATGTGATATTTGTATATTTTTGAAGATACTATCTGATACCCAGCCTAGTGAGTCCATCTACCAATAGGCTTCATATTATCTACTAGAGTTTAATTATTACATGAGGTTTTCTAACATTATGTTGGAAGAGCTGATAAATTCATTACTGGCATTAAATCTGGCATGAAGCTCATTAAAAAAAAAAAAAAAAAAAAAAAAACTGGTATTGATTTTGAAAATGTCCTTTAGGTCAAACACAGGTTTACTGGAATCAGTTATGTAGTCTGTCAGGAAATCCACATCTAGGTACTTTTCAAATACCACTTTGTATTTTAATATTGCTATGAAAAATAATCTTAGTAAGGAATGCAAAAACTTCCAGTTGATTTAAATAGATGGAAATTTTTGAACAATCAATAGCTGAAGATGTTCTTATCATTTTTGCAAATAGAAACCAGAATGACCAGTGGTCAAGGAAAACAGGAAAAAAAATAATAGGTCAGGGAAAAAGGGAAGTTCCTGTAAAGTCAATGAATTTCTTGTTGTTGAGGCCCTTATAATCTCTCTTATATGATATAATGCTGATTTTTATTGCATCAAAAATAACTATCATAACTTGCAATCCATAGTATCTTCAAAAGACATATGATCATGATTATGTTGCAAAGTAGTCAGTATATCTGCAACTGTCAAATAAATAGGTAATTTAAGTCGGGGGGGGGGGGCTAAAAGTGAGCACTTTAAGATTGACAAAGCAGCACTGGCTTTTATAATATTGCCTGTGTGTCTGTTTGTGTGTCCTATATGTGTCTTTCAGTCTGTCTGTCAAATGCTTACATGGATTGAAAGTTGTTGTCAGTTCCCAGAAAGCATACACAAAATAATGTCCCCCCCAAGAGCCAAGCCAATAGATGTCAACAAATTTGAGTATTTGAGATTTAAAAAAAAATTCAAGGAATTTTGTCAGGGAAATTCCGGAAAAGTCAAGGAATTTTGTTTGCCCAAATCATTGGACACCCAGGAAACTGACTGAATAAATAGGTAATTGTTGGACCATGTTAACTTTGGCACAAGGCCACATTTGTAGAGCACCTAATGACAGCTGAACTCTAATGATGCTAGCATGTTAACAATTGTTCTATAACAGATACTACACCCTATCAAGTTTATAACATTTTTCTTTATGTATCATAAAAAAATATTTCAGCACCAGAATAGTTATTTACAAGCACACATACAGGCTCATTAATAAAAGTTTTTAAAAACCAATTTTTTTTTCAAATTAGTAAAAATTCCAATAATTAGATAGTCAAAGAAATTTGAAATAATAAAGAATGAAATAAAATCTTTCACTAGCTCTTTAAAGCATAGTGGGTTAAATTTCAACTCATTTTTTTATATCTATGTGGGGAGCTATTTTTAATACTACTTATATATCTCAGGACACAGGTTTATACTCTCTTCTAGTATTTTGTTTAGTATCCAAACAGATCAACAGATAGAGTAATTCAAAATGGAAGAAAAACAAAAAGACTTCAACCGTGCATTTCCTCAAAGAAAAAAAAAAAAAAACAGAAAAAGAACAGTAACTGTTACACTATAAACAGTAATGACTAAATAGAACTATTTATTGTTTGACAATTGATGAATGAAGAAGCCCTGAGAATCTTCTTTAACAAGAGAAAATTGTTTATAAGAAAATATTCTTTAAATAAATTTCAGAATCCTGTATTGTGAAAGAAAGCTAAGATATACGAGCAAGCAAAAAAAAAAGTTATAAAATCCGGAAAAAAAAAAAAAAAGAAAAAAATATAAACCTAAATATTTTTTTAACCATTTTCATTATAGTTAGGATTACAGTCAAATAATGAGAATTGGAGAAGATTATTGGCAGCAGCAGCAACAACCACTGACACCCAATTTTATTTTAAGATTTAATGTTTTTTTTTTTGTTTTTAAACAAACCCTTTATTACTTATTGG